TTTTTTGTTAAAGTTTATGACTATGACTCATTACTATTCTGCATTTCATTCAAATTTCACATGCCCTCTTACACTGCTAAGACAGAAATATGCATGTCAGGGAATTACATGTTGAAACACAAAGGTTTGTAACCTCTTTCCATAAAATTCCACATCTACAAAGCACAAGTTCCTGCAATTTCATTCTGTTCAAAGCTGGAGGGGACAAGAAACCAGACAGAGCTGGTGTGAGTCCCAGGGTCCAATAAGCACTTTGAAACATATTCACTAAGTAAAGACTTTTAAATGTCTCCAAAAAATGCAGGTGTGCAAATTACTCCTGATACAGACAGGAGTTATGTTTCTAGCATCCCCTCAACCACTGTTAAACAACACCCCCACAAGCATTTTTCAGCTCATAAAAGCTTTATGAGCTGAAAAGTTTCTTCAGATTTGGTTTGGGGTTTTTTTTCAGCTACTAATCCATTACCTTCCAGCAACAGCATCGGACCTCACCACTACAATACATAGGAGCTATGAGAACACAAAAGGGCCCGAGGTGGCAAGTTTTGCATCTTTGCAGTGAAAGACAAACTCCTCTGTCCTATCTGGTTACAAAGCTGATAACGTGATAATACATCACAGTGCAGGGCTATTTTACTTTTTCACTTTCACAACACATTCACGATCCCAAGGGAATGGGAATAGCCTGTTGTTCCACTCAAGTAAATGAAGTCCCAAGCTCCTTCCATTATGAAACATATGCATGGTCCTTTCTGTAGCATAAAAAGGGATGTTGCCCCATGCACAAATATATTTTCCTCATTAACTGGAACACCTGCCCTAGATCTGCCCATGTGCCATAGGCCCTCAGAAAAACCATGTCTTATATCCCTCATTAATTTGTGCACCTGCCTCACACTTGCTCACATGGAAGTATATGGATTGTTTGTACAATACATTTTCCCAGTGAAAACTGGTGTATTATACAAATAAGCAGCTTAATCCATTCAGCGGTGTGTTCTTTCTTATCAGCACTAGAGTGCATTTTCCAGAATTTAAGTTAATGAGCTTGACCGTCCACCAGGTCCCCAAATTAATTCTGTTTCCATGGGTAAATTTTTTTTGTCTAAAAGTAACTGAAACTTCCTTTATGAAAGTTTTAACTGATTGCAAGCATATATTTTAAAAAATAGGAGTAAGTCTATTTACCTTTTGGATGGCATAAGAAAATAAGTCCTCTAGGAGAAATGTTTTATGGTCTAATAAATTTAAGGGCTTTTTGTATATAAAAAAAAAAATTCTAAAATATTTAATAACATATTTCAGTTATGTATTGTATTACTGCATATTAAGGGAGGTGTGTATACCTAAGACAGCCTAAGAACTTTGCCCCCATATTTAATTGGACTCAACCTAGTCAACATTCAACGTCTTTCAAGTACAGCTTGAGTCTACACTAATAATGAAGAATAATATGCCCCACATTCCATACATCCATAACACATTCCATACATCAACAGCACATTCCAGCCAAAGACTTCAAAGCGCTTTAGCAAGGTTGGTGCCAGTTTAACAAGGGTTTGAGACTGAGAAGAAAGGCGCGAAAAATCCTTCCCTCTTCTACCTCTACCAGCGCACGGCCACAGGTGAACTCAGCAGAGACAGAGCAGCGATGGACTGCTCTCGCCTCACTTCCCCGGGCGGCAGGACACACACCGATCGCAAAGGGACTCCTGTGCTGCAAGGGATATGCTCGGTCCTACTCGCTGGGAACTGCTAAAAATGTTTGCATCTCTCAAAACTCCATTCATTTGGCATGACCCTTCTCTTCCGCATGGAGTATAAATATTGTTCATAACTAACAAAGCCTAATAGCACCTCCGTGGAGCACTTAAAGATTATTATGTCTGCACTACAGATGGTAAATGGAGCTGCAGAGAGTAATATTTAGCTGTGTCAGTAAAATAGCAAGTTTCTACTGTAATTAAGTGATATGGCTGATAGGAAACAAAACATGGTACCGTGTTTCCACTGAGCCCTGCTTCACTATTAAACTGTTGCTTCTGGCAAAAGCTGAATAACAAGGAGGTGAAGAAAGATGGGGAAAAAAAAAAAAAAGTAATCTCATAAATATTTCCAACACTTGTACATACAGTAAAAGGAAAACATTATATTAATTTACACACAATACTGTTTATACAGCAAACCTTGCATTATTATTCCTATTTGAAACAGCTATTATTCAAAGTGCTTTGTTAAAAAAGTTATCATTTCTTATGAGGCACTTCTGCACTCTTGACTTGAAAATCATGAAGGCTTTTGCTTATAACCCTCACCGATTATTTTATTTAAAAACATTAAGCTATATGACACTGTAAACATGCCAAAACGAAGAAGGAAAAGCTTTTGTTTTATCAGAGATGTGATGTTGAAAACTGTATTTCTTGTTCCCATTTATCTGAGAACAAAAAGCCGAAGGTACAGTTTATGTAGTTCCTGTATGACTGCATATCAGTTTTCAAACAGTGATAGCACAAGAAGTTGAACTATGTCCTAGTAAAATGTGTATGCTAGTAATATCTGCCAAATTAATTCCTCTTCAGCACCTCCTATACACATTTTCCTCATCACAAAGGAAAGTTTACGGACTGAGGAACAATGAAAAATAACTGATCTTGACAGGATTTTTCAGATGCAGTCTTTCATTTCTGGAGAAAGACAAGCAAACAGTCATCCGAATCCTCACACAGAACAAATCTTTGGCAGCTCTAACTTAACTTGTGGTAAGTAGGTATAGGACGCTTTTCTCTGCGGATAGCTAAATGGAGGGATTTCCACTGTCAGATTCTGAAAACAGAAAAATAAAGAAAACTCCTTTTTGGCCTTGCACTAGATACACGATAAATCCCTTTATGTTTAAAGAGAATACAGGTGCTACCAATGGAGAATTTAATAATATTTCAAGAATAATATTTTTCTAGGCTGCCAGACTAAATAATTCCTAAAAGCAGAATTGTAAGGATGTATAGCATTAAGTCTGCTTATAAACACCCACACACACATGCACATAATATACCTGGAAAATGAACACACAGCTTTAGAAAGTTTGTGAAGATGCAGAAAGAAAATCTTGAAGAAAGTCTGTCCTAAGGACTTGATCATCCAAGTGAATGCAGGAGTACCTAAGAAGAGTAGCTATGCATTGACCCACTGTCCTTTAGATAATCTACCTCGAACTAATTCCTGATTTAACAAATCACAGCACCCACACCATTCTGAAAAAAAATGTAACATAAGATTCTCCTTGATGTATATTCAGACAAATCCTGAATCATATACCTTGTCCACTATCTGAAGAAAACACCAAGATTCCACACCCTGTCAAGCCATCCTACTTCTCTCCATCCTCCCTCAATATACACCTGCCCAGGACAACCCACTTATGCAATAAAATGTATTATAACTCAACAAAATACACAGAAAACTAGTTCACTACAACACAGTCCAGCTATTGATTTTAAAGCTGAATTAACCAAATGTCCACAGGTATAAAAGTATTTAATATACTGCTTTACTCTAGTCTTCAGAAATTACACTTCTGTTCTGACTTACCGGACTTGTCTCATTTAATTTAGACTTCCAAGACACTGACAACTAAAGCTTCAGATAATATACTACAGAAAAAAAAAATAGTGTTTAAATTTTAAAATAACAGAAAGTTTTCTGAAATAGAAGGTTAAGCTACCACTGATACTTGTGCAGTTTTACATCTTACAAATATAAAGTGGGATAATGAGCTTAAAGTGAATAAACATACAAAATCCACTGTATGCGAAGTCCAATAGTGACATGGCACATCTCAAGGAAACTACTTCTGCCTCTTGATTTTTGAATAAAAGTCTACCAAGCACAAACCTGATAAAACCAACCAAAAAAACTTCCGTAAATTATGAATTCTGTTGGATAAGTTCTTCAAATATATGGATATTATGGCTGAGAACCAATGAGAAAACAGTTTGTTATTTAACCATTCAAAAGCATAGAGTTAAGGTATATAAGACATAAAATTAATTTTTACTGTGTTCCTTCAAAAAAAAAAATATAAAATAACTATTAAATAATTAAGCAGAAGGCAACATTGAACCTAATAGATATTCTGAGCTTTATCCTTTTTACCAGTTGTTTCACACTTCATTTTAAACAATAAGGTTTTACCAAGACATCTTAAATAGTAGGCAGTTGACAGGCTTCTTTAATGTTAAATTGCATAGCCTTCAGCTATTGCATTATGGAGACATATTCGTCATAAAACTCAACAGTTCATTGCTACTTCAGGACTCTTTGTTCTGGATACCCATGGAATTGAAGCTACATACACATGACAGTGCCATCAGCTAAAAAATGCAACGAAACTAAAAACTATGTCAATTTGCATCACAGATTCTGTAAAACAGATTAAAAAAATATTATGATATGCTACAAAAACTTGCAGAAACCCTTCCACCAAATCACAGGAAGTCCACTTGTGGACACAGTAGAGTGCCTTACTCTTTTTTAGCTGACTACACTGTACATGACATTGTTAATTGCTGCAGACTAATGGAATGTTAAAATAATCTAGTGCTTCGTTTAGGACTAGCAATGCATGGAATGGAAGCTGTGAAATTAAAATGCTTGTTTCACAGATAGCTGAAGTTAAATCAGTGACTTGACAACATTAAATAAGAAAATTGGACTATAGCCATTATGACTTTTAAGAGCAAATACAACAGTTTCATATTCATTCTAACATAGAAAATGATCTTACCCCAAACTATATATATAACACATTTCTGAGGTTTTTTGATGGATAGAAAAATAGACCTACCAATATTTAGTAACTTGCTGTCTAGATAAAACTTCTACTTTGTATCTTTCAGTGATCCAATAAACATCTCCATTATATGCTAAAGTACACCAGTTTGTTAGGATAAACTGTCCATTCTGATGGACTGCAGATCTAAAAGGCAAAATCTTACCTGTATCATTGCCTGTGATTTGAATAACATACAATCTTATGTCATTTCCACTATCAGGGTGTGAAGTAGAAGGAGACACCTCTTGAGGTTGTAAAGCCTCTGTGGCCTCCTTCACTTTGGGTGGTGTAGTAGGTCGTGCAACTGCAGTAGCAGTTGGTGCTGTGAAATATTCCTTATCGATTTCTGGTTCTAACATCTTTCCTGTCAGATCGTCATCAGCAGTGGCTTTACTTGGAGAAATAGATTCATCAATTACGATGATGTCATTGCTTGTTACCTCTTCTTCTTCCTCAGGAATGATGCGTGGTGACTTTTGAGTAACAAAAGGTTTGAATGCTGAAGTAGGCTGAATTTTATCTAGAGCACTAATGGAAGGTGTTGTTACATCACTGAGAATTGTTGCTTTATCTGTTGCATTAGCTGAAAATACAGCTGGTTTGATTTCTTCGGGTTCTTCTGATATTCCTGAACCTTCCAGAGTTTGGCCTGGAGAAGCTCCCAAAGTCAGAAGAGTAATAGTTTCCTCAGTAGAATGACCTGTTGGCATTGTGAGGGGGGGCAACACAGATTCCCAGCTCACTACATCACTGTCTTCTCCTCTGGTGGGGGTTCCTCTGCTTACATACATTTTTGCTTGAGTACCTGCTGTTATAGGCATCACTTCAGTGACATTCTCTTCTTGATCAATAGCAGTTTCAACTTTTGGAGTCACTGTGAGATGCAAGGTCCTGGTGCTGGTTTCATCACGTCCCAGAACTCTTCCATAATCTGTGAGATCCACTGCAGGCACTGATACTTTGGTTGCTGGATACGTCTCATCATAAGCTGAACCTGTCTCATCCTGTTTTTCTTGAAAAGTCGTTTGAGATGACTGAGATCCTGGTGCCGTCTTTTGTTCCTGTATTTGGACAGATGTCACAGATAAGGTAGACTCTGTGGCAGTATCCTTATCTTGATCTTTCAAGGAGAATTCCTCGGGGAACAACTCACTATCTTTTGCAGTTGTTTCTGTTGCTTCTGTATGAAAGACACCATCTAAAGGAGTCTGATCAGTAACTGGCATATCTCTAGTGACCTCACTCTCTACAGTAACCGGAACTAGGGAAGCATCATGTTCTTTCTGTGGAACTGTAGTATCTACCTTTGTTACATTTGTAAATATAATAGATCCCTTTGTCCCTCCAAAACCAGCTGATGGAGTTCCTTTTCTGTCTTGAAGTGTTGCCACTGACTCCTCAGTTGATGTCTCAATGCTTGTCTGGCTTTCCTCTGTCACTGTGTGTTTTGAGACTTCCATTTCAGTAGGGATTGAGACTTCCATTTCAGTAGGGATTGAGACTTCCATTTCAGTAGATACTTCTTCAGTAGGCGTTGCTACCAGTGTCTCAGTAGCCTCTCTTTGTTCAGCTTCTGGGGTAGGAATGGACGTTTTCAGAACATACCCTGATGTTTCATCTCCTTCATGTTCAGTTACCTCCATGACTGCATGCATATCAGTTGGTAATACAGTAACACTTGAGAAGCCAAAAGACTTTATTGTTGCACTACTTTCATCCACTGATATTTTGGATACTGTGGTCATTTCCAGATCCAAAGAGCTGCTTGTGTGGGAGACACCCGTAGCATCTTTACTCTGATCAAAATCAGCTGATACAGATTCTTCATCACTTTTCATTTCTGCTGGCTCCATGCTTGTCTCAGTTTCATCTGTAACAGCTGAAATTGGAGCTTCTGGATGCTTTGTATATTCTGTAATTTGCCCTGGAGATGATGTAGGCTCCATTCCAGAGATACCATCTTCTGTATCTAACTCATGTATCCTCTTAGTATGAGATGACTCTTCTGTCATATACTCCTGATCTTTATCTGTTGGCAGCCACACACCAGAAGCTGGAGGAGCCTGTGTGAACTTCTCACTTGCAGAACGTTCCTCAGATTCTGCTGCAACATAAGTAGGAATGACAGTTGTGGCATGAGAGATCTTAACATCCATTGTTCTTGTTTCTGTCTCTTCTTTTTCCTGCTCCTCTAAAATGGCTGAACCTTCTGTTTGCTGAGATGAGTGGGTAACAGATGTGGTGTGTTCTCCAAAGTTTTGCAGGGAAACGGTGCTTCCTGGGAGAGCGTTGTCCTCAGATCCTGTTTGGTTAACAGCTGATACAGAAAAGGATACAGGTATTCCAGATGAGATGGTAGGCTGCACATCTCTCAGGTCCTCTCTGCTTCCTTCAGCTGATGCTTCATTTTCAAACACCACTGCAGAACTAAATTTAATGAATGGACTTGACTCATCTGTTGTAGAATATTGTTCAGTGGTTACTGCATGCTTCTCTACAGGTGTCTCTGATGCAGCAGGCACATCTGACTCTGGGACTCTACCAGTAGCCATGCCAGAAACTCTATCAGGCATAATGGTGTACATGCTCTCTCTGCCCTCCCCCTCTGTAGTGAGATCATACTGGTCAGTGAACAAAGATTTAGGGATTACAACAGTTGTAAGTTTCTTGTCAGATTTTGCCTCCATTGACTTTTTTGTGGGTTCTTTTGTTGAGTGAGCACCAAGGTACATATTCTCTTTTGTTAGTGAAACTGAAGTCCCTGTCCTGGGAAACTCTCTCCGAGAAGGTGGTGACAAGCTATCTGTAGCTGTCATCTTAGGACCCACTTCTATTTGTTCAGTCTGATTATCAGCATCGTGTTTGTGTGTATCTCCTGCTTCAGTATCTTCCCACAAACCAGTGGAACTCTTAGCTACAGCTGTGCTATCCTGAAAAATTACAGAGGTCAAGAAAGCGTCCTCAATGCTTTCAGACCTACCTTGTTCCTCGGGCAATTCTGCTTCAGTGTAAGTGTGCTCCAGTTCCAAAGCTGCAGATGTACTCTCTGTTAACCTAGGTGAAACATCATATTCAGTCCTCCCCAGTGTTTCGTAAGTGCTTATTTCGCCATCTGTGACAGTCTGAGGTAGAAGGGTGGTTAACTTAATGTTCTCCATAAGCACCTCCATTTCCCTTTTTTCCTCAGCCACATCAGTAGTCATTTTTGAATCTTCTGCAGTCTCTAGGGTGGTTTCCTCCAAAGCAGGGGCCTCTGTTTTGGTGACAGCCACTTCAGTAATCGAAGTCTCAAAAACAGGAGGTTTAAGAGTAACTTTAGCAGATGACAATTTCACACTGTCAGTTTTCAGAGATGTAATCAGCTTAACAGTTGTGGGCTCTGTTATGACTTTTTTACCTTAAAAAAAGAAAAAAATAAATTAAGAAATCATTCAGTCAGAACACAAACAAATGTTACTTTAATTCAGCTTGAATGTTCCCAAAAAAAAATAAATGTTACACTGAGAAAAAAGGTCAAAGGCTTTAGATAGTTGATTAGCCTACAATAGAGCTCTGAATGACATAAAATAATACATTATAAATCTGCACAACATCTAACCTTAAGTCAGATGAAAGGAGAAGAGTAGCAATATTCTTCATATTCATTGTTTATATATTTACCACTAGAAGTCCTCGTATTATACAAGAACCCTTCAGACTGCTAAGTACCTATCAGGGAATATAGAAGTTTATTTCATGAAGTCATGAATGAGTGGTACTGCAAACCTGTGGGTTTTCTTCAAAGCTTAGTATAACATAGAACTCAAATGTATAAAGGGAGTGAAATACCACTTTAGTTTATTTTCAGAACTTAATTATAAATTGCAGAAAGGAAACTTCACTAGAGGAGAGGATGCTTAAGCAACAGGAACAAACATGCCATCGGAAAGTACTGATTTACAATGCCTCAAGAGCTGCTGCCCGGTATATAATTATAACAAGAGAAATATATTATGGGGAAAGGTGAGAACAGTAAACTGTAAGATCATAAACTTAATACTATAATGATGTTGATCTTTGGAAAACACTTCAAAGATATACATCTGAAACTCCTTCACACACAAAAGTGCTTCTATGGGAGGGTTGAACATGAAAAGGCACAGTGTTGAACCCTCTGAATGATGGCAAGAGTAAGGAGGTAGCTATCCTAGATTTACAAGAGACAAAAAGGTCTTTACAGTGACCTAACTGTGATGTCTTAAAGATTCTTGCTGCCTTATGCCTTGTCCACTCCTCCTGCCCTAGATTTCCATCCTATCTGAGGAGGAAATGTGTGCCAACAACCATGACACTGCAAAGTCTGGTATCTCATTTTAAACTCCTAAAGAAGGTGAGCTTGTGCTCAGAAAACAGGATTGACTTGGGAAACGCCATGGGTACAGACATCCCCATTTCTGTTGGTTCTTCCAAGTCAGTAATCTTCAGAACAGCAATGGGAGCAGACAGGTGGAACATATGAACGTCTCAAGTGACTGAGAGTCAAAAGTCTTATATGGACACAAGCAAAGAACAAAATACAGTCCTTTAAATTACACTAAGCATATGAAGAATGCATTAAACTGGGTGTGTATGTGAGGACTAACTGCTCACTAGACACAACTAAATGTATAGCTACTTGCAAAATAAAATATTGCTCAATTTCTAACAGAGCAAAGAAGTCTATTTCCCTAACATTCAGAGATCAAACCAGTTATGACATTTTAGAATAATTTAATCCAAAGGCTCATAATTGTGAGTTAATAAAAGAGATCAGGAAACTACTCAATGAAAGGCATGAATACCAGTTATCATGGGAAAAAAGTGAGTTCTGAGATTGAGATTTTACTGCCTGGCATATGTGGATGAAGATGGTGCAGCCTCTAACTGACTCAAGACTTGCAGAAGTTGATGGTACGAGCAAAGAAGAGAAAGAAAATAAGTGAAACATTTAGAAAGACTCAACTTATTTGTGCAATGTCAGTTTATACTCAAGTATACGCAGTATGTATGCACAAATCAGTTTCTTTCACACACCCATGTCTAATTAGGTACCCCTTTGATACTTGTAGATATGAATTCTGCATGTGTAAGTTAGGGTCACACAAATATTTGTTTAGTTTCACACACCAAGCTTTGAAAATGTCACCTTTGCAAGAGATCTATTTTATTAACCCTGAATTAGACAGGTTTGCCAGATGATGGCTGATTAGGATTTCTAAAAGAACGGGGAGATTTACAGAGTAGGGAAATTAAGAAAAAGAGCTGATAGTTCAGTTTTCTTTAATGAGAAGTGTGAAAAGGAAATTGTGAGGGTAAGAAAATATGACGTCGCTATGTTTAGAAGTGGTGGTGTTCTTTGCCAGCAGAAAAGGAGTGGATTCTTTCCCCTACCATATGCTAAATATTTCTGTGGTTTTACTAAGGAGACTTAGAGCTACTTATATACTCTTTTTCTGTAGTGTATAACATTGAGTTGAGCAAGAAGGAGTAAAGTTCTTGGAATCCCACTAAGCAAAGCACAGCCTTAAGACAAGTGATTTTTGTGTTTTCAGTTTCTACAACCTAAAGTGGATTTTATTGTTCTTTTCAATAACTATGTAATTCAAATGTGAAATAGTGTTCACACAATCAAGAACCAACAAATTCTATTTTTTTTTTCCATCTCTACTTGCATGAAGATGATTTAAACTTCTCAACTAGGGAGTGAAGAATGCATCAAGTAAGTTAGCACTGTCACTCTGAGTGGTAGTTGGTAATTGTTAAATTTCTACCAAAGAATCCGCCAGTTTGCCTTACCAGCTCCTTTTTATGGCAAAATGGAAAAGAGAGAGAATAATCTCGTATTTTCCATTCTAACCATAGGATGAGTTTCCTTAATGCAGATTGAATTTGGTTTGCAACCCAGTTACTGTATTTTAAGAGACTATCAAGATCACTGAAAGAAGATGAAAAAGTAATGCTCTCTAAAAAAGCTAGACAAAATGAGGACATGAGAATAGTTTGAAATCTGGAGGAAAAAAAGGTAACCTTATTTCAATACTGCTGGGAGATTGTGTATACAACCATTTATGTACCCTACCCTACCAATTTCCAAGAAAAGTTTAGAAGTCCCAAAAGTTCACATATTTATGCCAGACATGCAGTTATTTGTTGTTCATGAGTCATTATCTGCTAATTACTTGATAATGTAGGTACACAATTATGAAGTAAACCTGAAAAAAACCCCACCAAGTGTATTTGATTTACTTACATTAGCAAGTGAATCAACAAATGCTAAATTCATATACTGCTGTAAGAAAAGCACATATTTTTAGAGTTTATCAATGAACATCCCCATTTTCTCCTGTGGAAACTGACACAGGGTTACCAGTATGCAAAGAGCAGTTCTGGTTAAAATCAACTACAGAACCTCTAGAAGTAATTTGTCATAAATACGATATATAAGATTTTTCATACAGATCATCCAGGTTTGCAAACTTATTTGAGTGGACCAAAATAAAAGGTGCTTCTTCAAGAAGAGATGTATCAATTACTTCTCTTTGTTTTGTTTGTTTGTTGTTGTTTGTTTGTTTGTTTGTTTTCTGTGGGAAGATAAAAAATCAAAGAGAAATTCACTTTTTTAAGACTGAACATCAGTTTGAACTGTTGTCCACTCAACCCAGATGTTTTGCATTACTGTACTCCTTGCATCATGTGTGCAATATGCTATCTCTTTTGTCCTTCTTCTGATTCAGGACATGAGGCAGATTTTCCTATCAAATTCATGAACATACTAGCAGTAAGAAAGCAAATTATCTCACCAACAGCTGCTCATTTCAAAGGCTATCTTGCAATATTTAACCGATTCCTTTTATAGGAAGAAGAACCTGCATGAAGTTGATTTTGGACGGAGTATATGACTTTGCAGAGATACTATATTTCTTCACTCTCTATTTCCTTTATGCTTTCACTGTACAGCATTTTCTTCCTTTTATCTCCCACCATTGTTTAAATAAGGATTCAAAATAATAAAGCAATATTACAACAATACTTTTTCAAGGATATCACACTACACAACTTTAGGCATGGTTTAACTTTGTGATTACCAAATAAGGATTTTAATATGTTCTGTGCTGCTTAATAATAATTTCAGGATATCTGGATGTACTTTCTGGAGGAGAAAATGTTTATTTGAAAGATATTATATATTATAATTTCTAGAAATGCATTTTCAGCATAACCAGTTCCACTAAACTTTTAGTCATGTGTCTAACTTGAATCACTTCAGCGGTTTCTCTGCACTCAGAAATACTGTTTGTGTATTTGTATTTAGTTATATATTTAAGAACCTGGAAGAACATAGATTCTACAGATAGAAAAAGAAACTGTCCTGAGACACTGACAAAAATGAAATCAACAAAAAAACCTGTTTCAAGTCAGAACAAAACCTGGAAATAATGAATACTTTCTGTGAATAACAGCCAAAATAAATTATTGCAAAGTATCAGTAACATTGAGACAGTCAAAACTGATGGTTTGACATCTTCCAGCCCATTTAGAGCATGATTCTTATGCAGAGAGGTTGCTTTGCTTAACTTTTACATATTTTTGCATGTTAATTTGTTTGTTGCCCTGTCAAGTTTGCTCTGTGTCTCTGTCCCTTCACAGCTACCAACCCTGGCAGAAAGGACAGTCTTGAACGCTCCCGTGACTCCAAGAGCTATGTCAGCTGGAGTTTAAATTACTGGCAGAACCTTCCAAACTGGACAAGAGTAAAAGAACGGATTTAAAAAAAAAATAAAATAAATTGGTGCTCTGAGTTACAGATTGAGCCAGAAACCTCTCATTATCACACTGAATCAGTTCTTGCTCATTCACTCGTTTCAGGAAGCAGAAAGGTGGACAGGGGATGTGAAGTTATGTTCATTACTTATGAGGTGTGTGGTGGCATAAGAAGGATTCAGAATCTGATACTGCACTTATAAGAGCTTCTCTATAACTCCAAGTGTATACTCCCACTTACTTACACTGAGTTTTGACATAAAAACTCAAGCCAAATGTAATGAGAAAAATAATATTAAAATCTAAATGCAGTATCCATTCCCAACTACAAAATATGTACAATATCAGAGAAAAATTAATGGGATTCTTAAAAAAATAAATAAATAAATAAATAAAATTAAAAGCTATTATTAGTCTATCTTATTTGTAAGGAAAAACTTAAAAATATAACAGAAGGTCATGCATCTTTTTCACACCATTGCCCAAGGTTCTTTCTTCCAGCTAACAAAACAGCAGAGGCAGCAGTTATATTAGCTCTGTGAACACAAACACTCTTAAGTAAAACCACTTGCTATTTCATAACTTCTGAAGTCAGATGGTTAAAGGGGAAAGGATATG